AATTTAGCATTTTTCAATAAAGAATGTAACTAGGCATAGTAGCAGCAGTAGTAGCAGTACTGATTGTCACCAATAGAAATCAGAGATTTTCATATCACATTATAGATGTTGCCGATCTCTTGAAAATCATATAATTTCAATCATTATTTTGAAATCATGATAGTCATTAGACCCTCCATTAAATCTTATGATTTAATGGATTAATGGGGAGTACATATATGATTATACTATAGCACATATTTGCTTTTTCCATATTTTAATAACTATATTTCAATGTAATCAATTTCTTTTGTAATTCTAGATATTTTATTTTATGAATTTAAGCGATTTTTGTTTTTTTTTTCTGAGAAAAGGTCCAGTGAGGCGTAGTGGCTCAGGCCTGTAATCCCAGAACTTTGGGAGGCCGGAGGTGGGTGAATCACCTAAGGTCAGGAGTTCCAGACCAGCCTGGCCAACATGGTGAAATCCTGTCTCTACTAAAAATACAAAAATTAGCTGGGGGTGGTGGCGGGCGCCTGTAATCCCAGCTACTCGGGAGGCTGAGGCAGGAGAATTGCTTGAACCCAGGAGGTGGAGGTTGCAGTGAGCCAAGATCATGCCATAGAACTCCAGCCTGAGCGACAAGAGTGAGACTCCATCTAAAAAAAAAAAAAAAGAAAGAAGAAAAAGAAAAAGATCCATAGGCTTCACTAGATTACCAAAGGGGTCCATGGCACAAAAAATATTAAGAATATTTGTCTTGAACTCTAGGCTCCAGGAGGAAAAAGACTTGCTCTATCAGCCTGGGCGCAGTGGCTCACGCCTGTAATCCCAACACTTTGGGAGGCCGAGGCAGGCTGATCGTGAGGTCAGGAGATCGAGACCATCCTGGCTAACACGGTGGAACCCTGTCTCTACTAAAAATACAAAAAATTAGCCAGGCGTGGTGGCGGGTGCCTGTAGTCCCAGCTACTCGGGAGGCTGAGGCAGGAGAATGGCGTGAATCCGGGAGGCAGAGCTTGCAGTGAGCGGAGATTGTGCCACTGCACTCCAGGCTGGGCAACAACAACAAAAAGACTTGCTCTATCTTGTTTCCCTGCTGTATCCCTGTCACCCACTTCAGTACTTCAGGCATACAGTAGGTACTTGTAAGTGTTTACTGAATGAATAATAGAATTCCTTCCCAACCATCCTGCACACCCCCAATTGGGGGAGCCAGTGCCGGCCCTTTGGGTCACCTAAGAAGGAGGGACATTCTTGAATCTAGTTTTGTCCCTGCCAATCTGATTCTGCTCACAGAAGTAGGTGGCACTTTAAAGGTCTGGTCCCAGGAAATCCCAGGAACCTCCCACCCAGGAGCAGGGCCCTCTGCTGCAAAGGAGTGAGGGCAAGCTAGGAAGCATATGAAGACAAGTAGTTTCAACATGGGAACAGGCCCTAGGGCACATTGGGCCCATGACTCTTCATCCTCCTGGTTTCTGTTTAAGGTCTCAGCCAATGGGGCCTGTCTTCTCTGACCTTCGGCGAAGACAATATCTTGGAGCTAGATGTGACCTTAAAGACCTAGAACAGCCCTCCCTTTCGGAGGTCCAGACTGAAGAGTGAGGGCACAGGGAACAAGATGTTACTCTGGGCAAAGAACATCCTGTCCTCACATGGCTCAGCCAAGGACATGAGCACCCTGGCCAACTATATTAGAATCCTATGATTGACTCTTAAGAGCATCCCTGAAGATGAAGACCAGAGGCCCTATAATAGGGTGGGTGAAGAAGAGTCCGAAATGCCAGGATGAGGGGCTGGGGATTTGATTTGGGGGACAGAGAGGAATCAGGGAAGAGCACAATGAAGGCCAGACTTCAGAGACCGGCTTCAAGGCTAGACTCTGTCTTGAGATCTTAGGCAGGTCGCTTCTCCTGGACTGATCCCCCAGCACGATAAGCCTCAGTTTATAGATGGGAAAACTGTGGCCCTCTAGAGAGGACAAGGAGAGTCATGTTGTGAGGTAAGTCAGACTGAGGCAAGAGTAACCAGGCTGGTGACTCTGGCTCTGATTAGCTGGGATCCTTTGGCAGGCTGACCTCTTCCTGGCCTACTCCATTGCCTTTGCCCCTGCTGCTTTCCCCTCCCCTCCTCTTCACCACATACTCATTGGGGTTGGCTCCAGATATTGCATGTAGATGTCTGTTTTCTCTGGGATCCTGCACTCTCAGCTCTGGCCTTGAGGTATTGCGTTACTTTAGGCAAGACATTCCCTTTTCTGAGCCTCAGTCCTCCCTACCCACCTCTGACAGCACATCAAAGCCTCCATCCTGTCCCCCTCAAAACATTTATCAGAATCATTGGAGAGACAAGTCAAGGATCTGGTATTCCAACCATCTCACAGAGGAGGCCCAGAGAGGGAAGGGGCCTTGCCAAAGGTCTCACACCAACATGGCAGTCATCTTGACTCTTCTCAATCCCTCTCCTTCCATATCTAAAGCCTGTCGAGTCCAACATCTTAAAAGCTCTCATAGAACAGACAAATTGCTCTTGCAGAATAATTCCAATTAATTTATGTACATACTTCCCTCTCAAGGAAATGGAGCATAACTCCTCATTCCCTAAGCACAGGCTGCACTTACTTGGCTTCTTTCCAAAGAGTACAGCATGGAAAAAGAGAAAGAGGAGTAGCTTTACAGTGGAGAAACCTGACGGACACTACCTCAGCCAGGTGATCAAAGTTAACATCAACAGTGGTAAATCATATTGATAGTACATGCCCTTGATAGGATCTAGTGAGAATGACATTTGACTTCTGTGGTCTTCCTTCCCCAAACTCATATCCTCAGTTTAATCATGAGAGAAAACATCAGACAAATCCTGATTAAGGGACATTCTATAAAATACCTGACCAGTACTCCTCAAATGACTCCAGATCATCAAAAACAAGGAAAGCCTGAGAGAGTGTCATAGCCAAGAGGAGCTTAAGGAGACAAGATGACTAAATGTAGTGTGCTAGTCTGGATGGAATCCTGGAACAGAAAAAGGCCATTAAGTTAAAACTAAGGAAATTGGAATAAAGTATGGACTTTAGTTAATAATAATGTACTGATATTGGTTCATTAATTGCGACGAATATATCACACTAATGTAAACTGTTAAGGAAAACTGGCTGTGGGGCATACGGGACTTCTCTGTTATCTTCACAATAAATCTGTAAATTTAAAACTATTCTGAAATTAAGTTTATTTTAAAAACCTCTCAAATCCGCCCCCATCTTGCCAGTCCCACCTGAGGTCTAGCGTCTATTTCCTTACTGCTCTCCTTTCTTCCAGTCCGTTCTCCTGGCAGCCAGCAGAGGGCATTCTCTAAAACGCAAATCTAACCATCTCTGAAGCCTTCCAGCAAAATAAAGGCGTTGGATGGAAAGTTCGGGAGATACGTTATAAAAGACCGACTCGGATGTCTCAATAAAAGTTATTGTGATCCAGAACAAATCTGGGAAATACTTCTGCCGCCCACCGAGATAAAATTTATGTATCTAAATTTAATATAACTCAGCCTTTCCAAGGTCTCCCGGATAAAGCCCGTTTTTCAGATGTCCAACTCCCTACGTTTCCATCCCTTCGCACAGTTACATAGTTAATTTCCCTTTGTTTTTCCTTTATCTCTACGGATACGTCTCTGCCTTAGCTATCTTCTCCTGCCTTCCTCCCCAAGCCCAGCTCCAGGGACTCTGCACCCCCTCCCAAAGGCAAGAGAGCGCTCCTGTATAATTGGGTTGTGATATCCGGACCGAAGTCGTTTTTTGTTTTATTTTTACTAAATGCGAATGAGGAAAATGAATTCCTTTGGCTCCCCCAGGCCCCGCTCACTCTAGGCCCGAGGAAAGGTTTGACGCACTATAAATTAAAAGATGAATCACTGATAAATCGATGTTCTAGGGCGCAGGATTTCTCTATGCGCATGCGCCAGAGGGGAAGGCGTGGGAAGCCCTTTGCTACCTGGCTGGGTCTGCTGCGGGCGCCAGGAGGAGGAGGGGCTTCCTCAGCTTCGCCCTGCCATTGGCCAGGATGATCCGCATTGGTCTGACGCAACGCCTCTGCGGCCTGGCTGAGCTCGCCCCCCCACCCGCCAAACCCCCGCAACTAACATGTTGCAGGCTACTGCGTAGGCCAGGCGGTTACGTGTCGGCCTGGGGGAAACTGACCACTGGGGCCGGGGCACCAGGCGAAACAAAAGACTCGAAGGGGCACTCTGAACTTGCTCAGAATTTTATTGGGATTAACAGGGTCCACGGGGAAAGGCAAGCCTTCTGGGGGAGGGGGGACAAGAATACCGCAAAGAATACCGCAATGGCGAAGCGGCCTTGCATAGACACCGAGGCGGGCTAGCGGCGCGGCGCAGAGAGGAGAGGGACGGAGAAAGAACTTGGGAGAGGAGGGTGGCAGCAGCGCCTACAAGGGCACTGCGCGGCTGTGACGAAGGCCACAGCGACCCTCCCCGCTTCGGGGGTCAGGGTGTCCACTCCACACAGCACAGGGAGAGGGGCTGGGGCCACAACTGACTGGGAGAAAGTGGGTAGAGGGGCCCTGACCAAGGCATCACAATAAATACAGTTAGCAGCACACAGAAGCCTGCGGGGGCGGAGGGCCAAAAGAAGGGGACTAGCCCCCTTTCCCTCCCCCCAAAATAAGAACTCTGCAATGACTAAACCATAAAAATAAACTTTAAACCCGTGTACGAAGTCGGTCACCCCCCAGAAGTGCAATGTGGGGCCGCGTGGCCCTAGCTGAGGAGGAGGGCAAATGGGATAGGGGGTGGGGGATACAGAGAGGTAATCCCCAAAAGGGCAAGACCCTTATCCGGTTTTCCCCCTCTTCCCCGGGTTGGCCCAACCGTTTGGGACCTGAAGCACATCCTCCAGGTCAGAGTCGTCTGAATCTTCCCCTTCTTCCCAGACATCTTCACTTCCTTCCCCCTCATAGTTTCCTTCCTCCTGATAGACGTCTTCATCTTGCTCGATGCCTGCATAGGGGAGAAGGAAGGAAGGAGAAATGGAGGAAGGCAGTTAGATGAGCAGATAGGTGTCACTCTAAAAGGGAACAGAGCCCATAGCCAGAGCTTGTAGGGCCTGGGACAACTTGCCGAGTGCCTCTGCTTGGAACAAACAGCCAAAAGTGTGTGTGGGTATACTCATAAGCCCACAGAATGAGGGAGTTGGAGGGAGGCAGGTAGGCAGTGTGGGCTCCCTGCTTCCGTCCAGTCAAAACTGATACATCTCTGATAGTAGCTTTTTCTCCCCCTTGTACTCATCAATGTGTGTCTCTTCCTGAGCTCCGACCTCAGCTGAATAAACCTATTCATCTCCAGGCAGCTTCCTTGCTCCTTTCCCCCAGTCCTGATCCAAACAGGCCCCAGTCTGTGTTCTTCAACCCAATTCCCCACCCCCACTCCCACCCTTAGGGCTGGGCAGACAGCTCTGCCTCCCCTTCTCTGAGAGAAGAGATGCCATCAGGTGGGAGGGGAAGAGAACTGAGAATCCGTTTCCCTCTCCTACCTGAACACGACTAGATTGAGGCTCCACATTCATTCAATACCTCTTCCCTTAGTGCCCTGGCCTTGCCCTCAATGGAAGTTTGCCAGGGACCCCATGGCCAAAAAAAAAAACCCAAGAGTGGTTGATTTTCCTGCCCCTTCCACCTCCCATCTGAGTACTTCTCAGCATCTTTATAATTCTGATGTTGTTCTCAGAGCCTTTAAGGTGCTAATGTGACTCTACAAGAGGGCATTATTATATGTAGTACTTGTCCAACATATACGACCACTGAAACCTTTTGTGGGAAGCAGCTTTCGGATCTGGTGAATGATCCTCAGGACGTAATTTTGGAAACCCTGCCCAAAATACCATGCATTTTCACCCTTCCAAGTCCTTGTTCACACGATCCACTCCACTGAGAATGCTCCATAATGCGCCTCAGTGTGAATGCAGCCTCCAATTCAGATGTCACCTTCTTCCTCTAGCTCTCCCCCGCCCCCCTCCCCCAACTCTTGAGGTAGAACTGGCTGCACCCTTTTCTGGGCTCAGAGAGCACACTGTTCACTTCATGCTCTGCTCCCAGCACAAGCCTGGGAATTCGCCAAAGGCCAAGGCTGGGTACAGACTGTGCTGAAATGCACTGTGTTTTGCCACTCCCCCACCTCGATGTGAAGTGTCCTTTTTAGTTTTCCACCCACTGTCTCCTATCTCTGTGTACTCTTCATCTTTCGATGTTACAACCATCTACCCATCACCTGGAACTAAAATGATTTTTTAGGGTTTTGTTACATTTTTAAGTTAAATGTTCACTGGACTTCCTTTGTTTAGAAAGTTGCTCAGAATGCTTTTTCTTTCCTCCATGAAAGCAGATTGTGTTCATGCCTTGATACCCTGTCCTTGGCCAGGCTTGCTCTGAAAGAGAAGAAGACGGAAGACAAGGGTTGGGGGCAGGGGTTAGCTCACCTTCCTCAATGCCCTCCTCTTCTTCCACTGATTCGTCTGAGATGATCTCTATCACATCCTCGTAGTCATCCTGATCCCTGTCAAAGTCTTCAATAACTTTCTCATAGTACTCAATGTCTCTGTCATCATCATCGCTGCCTTCATTGTCACCTTCATTGCCATCATCATCACTGCCCTCATTGTCACCTTCATTGCCATCATTATCTTCATCATCACTGGCCTCATCTGCTTCATTGTCACTGTCGCTGCTGTCCTGGTTGTTGCCATGGCTGCCCCAGAAGCCGCCGTTGAAGAAGTTGTTGCCATAAGTGTGCTCGTTGTTGTCAGGGTTCTCTTCGTTGTCATCAGCGTTCTTGTTGTTGTCTTCAGGGTTCTCATTGTTGTCATCTGCACTCTCATTGTTGTCAGTGGTTTCGTTGTCATCAGCACTCTCGTTGTTATCAGTGGTCTCGTTGCGGACCTCATTGTGGTCAGGGCTCTCGCTGTCGCAGATGTTCTCATTGATGTCAGTTATCTCATTGTCAGTGGTCTCGAAGTAGTCAGTGGTCTCCATGAAGTCAGAGATCTTGATGTCATTAATTGTCTCATCAATGTCTGAGATCTCGCTGAAAATGTCTTCCACTGCATAATAGTCAGGGGCGTCTTCCATGATCACCACCTCACATCTGCCCCTGGTTTTACTGTAGGAAAGGCTGTAGCTGAGTATGGGGTTGGTGGGAGGAGGAGTACCCATAGCACTCAAAGGTGGAGAGTAACTAGGGGAAGCAGTAGGCTATAAGGGATCCCAGGGATGGGGCTAGGGTGGGTAAAGTCCCACTTCTGCCCCTGACTGTGTAACCTCAAGCCATTTCTGGACATGATTTCCCACTTGTAAAACATATTCCACTGGGATTATCTCAAAGGTCCCTTTGGCTCCATAAATCCTGTGTTACACTAGTTTTTGCCCCATCCCCAACAAACCACCTCTCAGCCACCAAACCCCTCATTACCGTTTCTTCATTTCTTGCTTCTTTCTCTTTATCCTGGAGCCCCTTTCTCTCAGGTAGTAGCGTAGAGGATTAACCCACAGATCATTCTTGATAATCTGTTGAAAAAGGGGAGAAGAGATAAGACAGCCATTAGTACAAGCTCCAGATCCTACTCTTAATTCCCCACGCACCCAGGAACAAGCCTAGCAAGGCCTTCTCTGGTGATGCCAGGAAGGGCCCCACCTCAGCAATCCTGTCAGCCTCTGGGAGGCTATGGTTTGAGAACCAGCTGAAGAAGCTGTGGCTCGCATCCTGGTTCCCATGACGGCGGGCCTGGGGTTCCTGGCCCCGGTGCCAGCGGATTGGAGTTGAGTGAGACACCAGCCGGCCTAGGGACAAAGAAGGCTATGGAGATGGGACAAAACAAGGACAGATTGGGGGGGACATGGATTTACTCTGGGACTGCCTCTTACCCGAGCGGTTGCGCTGGAACTCCTTGACAATCACCATGTTTGTAAAGTAGGGGTTTGTTTGGAAGTACAGCTTCATTTTGTAGCCCATGGAGATATGTCTGAGATCCTGTACCTGCTCCAGGTGGGGGTGATGGTGGAATCTGTCTCCCCCCACACACACCATGGCCCTTCCCACCCACCTCCCCTCACCTCCAATAACCAGATTCGTTGCCCGATCCTACTAAAAAATGTCTCTCTGGCCTGACCTGCAGATTGGTCAAGTAGCGGAAAATGTCTTCATCACGACGGTTGATCAAAATTGAAATTCTGGGGTGGTTGAGGAACTGATGAGTGGAGCAGTTTAGGTCAAGGATTGACTATTCCGTGAAAGGGAGGGAGGGAAGGCCAGGGAGGGCACAGTAAGAGAGGCTGGAGCAGGAGGATTCCTTCTGTGTTTATGTTGTATGTATGAAGCAAGTGAGTCATGGGACATAACCCATACTTATTCCCATGATAAACCTCTATGTTAGGTGGCCCTACAGGGTATTGAAAATCTATGTGCATGTGGTATATATCTCTGGGTGCTGAAGGCTTGTGTTCACAAAATGCACGTCTGGGGGCTGAAGGCCCACGTCCAAGTGATGCTGTATCTGACTGCTGAGGGCCTGTGGTCACATGATGTTGTATGTATGGGTGTTGAAGGTCCATGTCTACATGATGTGTGAATGGCTCTGATGGCTTGTGGTCAAGTGATGCCATGTGTCTACATGCTGAGGACCTGTGGTCACATAATACTGTGTCTAGGAGCTGAGGTCCTATGTCTAAATGACATTGTATGCCTGGGTGCTAAGGGCCTCTTACCATGTGCTGTTTTGTATGAGGGCGCTAAGGGTCTGTATCCACATTAATTCTATTAGAATGTTAAATTTATGTTCCTGTTACATGTATGTGTATGTGTCCATCTACTCTCCCCTTTCCTTAACTCCTTTTTCTCTATACCTAGACACTCCCTCTCTTGACCTTTCAGGGGCTCCAGCCCCTCTCTAGCCCGTTTTCCTCCAATGCAAGGCACTCCAGCCAGGATTGGGGTCTCCTAGTATCTTAAGCAGAGATCTACATTTACAGAGCCCTGTATGGCTCAGGCACCCTTTCTGGGTAGTTTCTCTGCTGTGTGCCATTCCCCTCCCTCTTCAAGGTCTCTGAGTCAGTTGATCTTCTACGTGCCCCTCCCCTCCTCCTTTCACCATCTCTAGTCCAATTTTTTTGCTGTGTGCCCCTTTACCGCCCTCCTCCTTTTTATCATCTGTGATCCTTTTTTTAATGCTATGTTCCTTCTCTTCCCCCTTTCCCATCTGTGGTCCAGTTTTTATACCCCCCTGTACCCCCCCCCCCGTCCCCTGCGTCCCCCCCTCCCCGTCCCCTGCGTCCCCCCCTCCCCGTCCCTTCATCATCTCCAGTCCAGCTTCTCTGCTGTTCTGCCCTCCTCCTTCCATCCCTCTTCCACCCAGTCTAATCCGTCTTCCGATAGGGGGCTCACGCCCACCTCTGGCTCTCCTCCACCCCCTTTACCTTTTCTGTCCCTCCCCCACCTCCCCCTTTCCTGTCACGGGCTTCTGACCCATGGAGTATCAATTAGAAGGATACTGCTTTGACCCAGAAGCCTGGGATATGCTGGATGATAAGGTCTCTGCGCTCCAGGAAGGGTCTTCGCATCTGGATGAACTTGCGCTTGAGACGCAGGAAGGCCTTGCCTGCCTTGATGTTCACCGCCTCCAGATCCAGCTGAATATCCTCCAGTGCCTGCAGGATGCTCTCCATCCTCTCAGCATTTCTCTGTCTGCTTTCCCTCTTCACCTTCCTCTGCTTCCTCCTCCTCCGCCGCCGCCTCCTCCTGCTGCTCCTCATACTCTCCTGCTCATCCTCATCCTCATCCTCCACTATGATGATCGCCTCTTCCTTGCTCTTTGGGTCAATTAATCTCTGGGGCCCCCACCCCACTGCGCTACAGGTTTCTAGGGCCCCCTCTCCACCAAAACTGCTGGGCTGCACAACCTGAAAATCGATTTCCAGGCTCCCCCCGGAGGCCTCAGGAGTGGGGAGTGCTTCTAGGCTCTCCGTGGGCGGGGGCGCCTCCCCATACCCCGACTCGATGGTAGGATCCCAGCCGGGACACTCAGCACCGAGCGTGAAGTATGCGCGGATCCCCCCCTCCTCGAGAATGACATAGGGAGGCGGCGGGGGCAGCGCGGGGCCCAGTCCCACCCCCCTCATATCGGCCAACACCTGTGCCGCCTCCGTTTCCTCCTGGAGCCTCGGGCGCTGCTGGGGTGGAGGCAGCGGCAGTCGGAGGAGCGGCGGCGGCGGCGGCGGCGGGGGCGGGTCGCGCTGTGGAGACTCGGAGCTGCTCAGGCGGCGGGTCTTGGCCGGAGGCCCCTCATCTGGGCGGTCCATGGCGACCGCGCTCGTACAGCTCAAGGGACTCGCACTCGCCCCTTCGCTTTTAGCTGCGTCGCTGCCGCTAGTCGCACCGGGAAGCGGAGCTGCGGAGACTCACGCAACCAGCTCTCCTCACCACCTCGCTCTGGCGTTCCCTCCCACAGCGCCCGCTCTACTCCCTCCGCGCCAATCGCCGAGGCCCCGCCCACTCCTGACGCAGGGATCCGCTCGGCCTGGCCATTGGCTGCCGGCCGCCGCGGCGGCGCTCGCGCTCCCGCGACCCCTGCCCGCTCTCACGCAATCTGCTTGCCAACACCACACATCATCAGTTTCCGATTGGCTCCCCTCGGGCCCGCCAATCAACGGGCTGACTCCCCCAGCGACGGGAGGGAAACTGCAGGGCGATTGGCTGCGAGGAAAGCTGGGGAAGAAGCCCCTCTCCCTCACCCTCTCAGCGTTTTATCCAATGGGAAAAGTACCAGTGGTTCTGAAGAGCAAAAAACGAGACGAAAAACAAACGCAGGCGCTGAGCAGGATGTGCTCACATGAAATTGGGAGAGCCTCGTTATCGTTCCCCCCGCCCCCCTCCCCTCAGCAACTACGCACTTTTAAAATCTGCCCCTTCCCCCATTTCCTTCAACTCCTTCCACCACCCCCGCTTCTGCCCCTTCCCCCATCCCGGCTCCTGGCCCTTCCCCCACCCCCGCTTCTGCTCCTTCTCCCATCCCCCACTGCTGCCCCTTCTTCCATCCCCGCTTCTGCTCCTTCCTCCACTCCTCCACCCCCCGTTTCTCTCCCTTCCCCCACCCCCCATTTCTGCCCCTTCCCCCATCTCCCGCTTCGGCCCCTTCCCCCCGCCCCCGCTTCTGCCTCTTCCCTCACCCCCCGCTTCTGCCCCTTCCCGCATTCCCTATTTCTGACCCCCCATCCCCCAACTCTGTCCCTTCCCTCACCCCCTACTTCTGCCCCTTCCCTCAACCCCCACCCCCCGCTTCTGCCCCTTCCCTCACCCTCCCTCCCTCCACCTCTGCTCCTTCCCCTATCCCATTTCTGCCCCTTCACTCACTCCCACCCCCCGCTTCTGCCCCTTTCCTCGCCCCCATCTCCCGCTTCTGCCCCTTCCCTCACCCTCCCACCCTCCGCTTCTGCCCTTCCCCCATCACCCCACTTCTGCCCCTTCCCTCACCCCCCACACCCTCGCTTCTGCCCCTTTCATCCCCCGCTTCTGCCCCTTCCCTCAACCCCCCACCGCTTCTGCCTCTTCCCCCACCTTCCACTTCTGCCCCTTCCCCCACCCCCCACGTTTGCCCCCTGGATGAACTCTGCCGTCGCTCCTCGGGGGCTCGGGCTGCCCTACCGCCTGCGCCTGCAATTTAGACACCCAGGGTGTTTGGTTTGGGGGCCAGATTTTGACGTGGCGTTTTCCATCTCCGCAAAATGGCCCTACAAATAATAATCACACACACAAAAAAGTAACTTCCTCTGCGTCATAAAAATGATTGTGATTCAGCTCTTTTGCTAGAATTTTCTAGCACTTTCTGTCTCTTCTCCCCCTTTCCATCCTTTCCTCTCCCTTTCCTCAGTGTATGCTGTATTTTAAGATTTTTCTTTTTAAACCAGAGATGGATGGTCTTTTGTGAGGCATGGTGGTGGAGGGCTGGCTTTGGTGCTGGGATTCACATCATGGGTGTGCCCCTCATTTTGTAACCTTAACCAAATCACTGCCCTTCTCTGAGCTTCAGTTTTCTCTCCCCTAAATTAGGCATCCCTAAAGAGAGGTGTAGGTAACTGCCCATTGCAACCTTGTCGTGGAGCAGAGAGGAGACCTAGGGATTCATCATCAGGGGAGTGGATAAGAAAAACGTGATATATGTTTAAGATGGACCACTACAATGAATTAGATCTATATACGGCAACATGGCTGCAACATGGCTGGATCTCTCAAAGACAGAATGTTGAGTGAAAAAAGAAACAGAACAAGATTTATAGTACAATACTGTTTATGTAAATTAAAACACACAGCAATACCATACATTTTTCACAGATACACATATATGTAAATGAACACATGAACGGTGGATTGGACGGACATACGTTAAATACACGAGAGTGGGTGCCTATGTAGCGGGTGGGGAGGATGGGATCAGGAATGGGTGATGAAGGGGACAAAACTGAAGACAAAAAAATAAAAGGGCCTCACATGGACCAATGATGATACAGTGTGCCAAGAACTGAGGAGTATGGTCAACTCAATTCTGTGCACCTGAGAGAATAAATAGATAGTAAATTCACTGTCTAGGGAGCAGGCTGGCTGGGTAGACTCCTGGGCTTGGGTTTTTTTTCCCCATGACATCCCTCCCTCTAAATTTGGTCAAAGCTGACCAAAGTCCCAGCTGCATACAGTGGCCCCTAGGAAGGGCTCCCATCCCAGACTGAGCAGTCCTTCCAGAAGCCATTACTTTGTGAGGGGCATTTCCTAATCCCATCACTTTCACTCGTATTTGATCCTCAATTCCCAGTCCCCATTCTCCATGGTGGTCCAATTTTAGGAACACCTTGTTTGAGTTTGGAAAGGAGACTGAGACGGGGTTGAGATGGAGCTACAGGCTTTGTGAGGAGATGAGGTTCTCAAGTACTCTGGCGGCCCCAGCCCTCCAGTGCTCAGGGCCTGGGCCAAGGGAGACCCATCTTGTGAGATGGGAATCTACCCTCTTGCTACCTACCTATGTACAGTTTCCAAGATCCATCTATTGACCACTCTACTTCCTACCATGGGCACATACTCTAGTTTGTCTCCTCTCAACTGTGGTATGTGTGTGTGTGTGTGTTTGTGTGTGTGCATGCATGCACATGCTGTATATGTCCCCATATACAGGCATTTGCTTACGTGTGTGCACCGGGCAAGTTTTCCTCAGGAGTGCCTCCCCACACAAAGTCACACAGACACACACTATCACTCAATCATGTCTCTCCACATGTGGTCACACAGACAGGACACATGCACACACACACACACACACACACAGTCAGAAAGAGAAAACATCCAATATAGCATTGTTCATTTCAGTTTTTCCATTTACAAAATCCAATGGTGAATCCAGGCAGTTAGAAAAAAGAAATGGAGGAAAACCCTCCTGAATGTACCCTATCTACCCCCCACCCCCTTGGTCTTCCCACCCCACCCCCTCGGAAAGGCACCCCCATCACTATCGCTGAGAGAACAGGCTCCCCCACTCCCGGCCTCTCAGCCACTCTGGCCTGCCTTTCCAGGGCCACTCCGCAGCCAGGCTCATTAATGTCTCTCCTGCCTAGAGTGCCCTCCCCATTCTGTATGGGTCAGGCTTCCCCAGTTCTGGGGCTCTCTTGGGGTAGGGAGGGAGTTTAGGACAGGGACTTCTATAAAGAAGGGAAAGGGGGATGGATAAATACAGATTCCGGCCCCACAGGAAGTGAGAGGGGGACAGAGAACCTAGGTAAGACCAGGGCAAGGAGTGCCAGCTTGGCTCACCAATCCACAGAACAGGCCTCAAAGTAAGCCCAGAGTGGACTCCACCCCCGGGAGGGAGGCTTGGATCTCCCACCTGGAGAATCTGGCTGCAGTCTGCTCCACTTTGGGTGTAGGTAAGGGTGGGGGAAGGAAGGGGAAGGAGGGTCGTTGGGAAAAAGGATGTTTGGGGCTCAGGGCCCGGTCGGCCAAGGGCTACTAAGGAGGGGCTTGAGGCCCTTGAGGCTTGAGGGGGACAAAAAGAGGTCAGATAGGAATGGACTCAAGTCCACAGTGCCTTGGAGTTTGTACCACTATCGGTTACCAAGGCCCCAAACAAATTTTCATTTTCAGAAGAGTAGGGTGAACCCAAGAGACAATTTTGGGGTTGAAATTGGCTCTGACCCAAGTCTTTGTGGTCCAGCTACTCTGGGATATTCAGCTTCCTCCCTACACTTTCCTGGTGGGCCGCTCCTGTCTGTATGGCACCCACATCAGTCCTAGTGGGGCTGGAGTGGATTTCCATCCTCAGGAAGAAGAGTTGGGGGCTGGGGATCCTGAAGGCAGCGTGAGAGAATGTGACCAAGTGTAGGTCTCTTCAATTCGAGGAGTTCAGCTCACATCCTACTCTTCACCTAACCTGGGCCCATCCTTGGGGCCCTTCTCCCTACTCCCTTGACTTCTCCAACAGATGCACAAGAACCATTTGGAAGGTCTGGACATGGTGGGGAGGGAGAGGAGACTGGGCTTGGGGCAAGGGTTGGCCTAAAACAACATTGCACATGACATAGTAATTAAACATCCCTGCTCCCTGGGAACCCAACACCCCCTTTGGTCCCTCTTGTCAGCAGCCTTGGACCACTTTCTCCCTAAACATCCAGGCCTTGCTAAAGGACTTGGAAGGGGAGGGTGCGTGGTGGCAGAGGGGGCAAAAGAGCTCTGGAAGTCTATTTTACAGGACAAATTTCTCCCTTCTGGACAGTGTCAGAAGGAGAGACATTAAAGTAAGAAAGCCTGTCTCCTCAGCTGTTAGTAGAAAAACCTGCATTCTCAGTTTTCTTTTCTTTTTCTGAATTGTCACGTCTGAGAGAGAGAGAGAGAGACAGAGAGAGAGAGAGAGAGAGAGAGGGAATGAGATTGTAGAAGTGGAGAAGGAGGCAGCGGAGATAGGCCCCACAAAACTAAATATGCCTCTTTCCCAGTCCCTCGCCCAGTCCTCCATCCTTGGGAGGTGTTGGCAAAGGTGCCTAGATTACAGGTGGTTCGAGGGGCTGGGGCTGGAGCTCAGAAAGGAGGACTCCTGTATGGGCCCCTACCCCTCCCTTGCTATTGGCCCCATCACGGTGGCCATGAACTTCTCTCTGCCTGTCTGCCTACCAGCCTGCTTCACATGACACAGTAGGGTTCTCTGGGAGCCGGGGCACCTCCTGTACCCCAGCAGGGGGCGTGAGTCCTCAGGCACTTCTTGAGGTCCTTGTTGAGCAGGAAGCAGACAATCGGGTTGACGGCAGCCTGGGCGAAGCTCATCCAAACAGCAGTAGCCAGGTAGCGGTGGGGCACAGCACAGGCTTTCACAAACACTCGCCAGTAGCAGGCCACGATGTAGGGTGACCAGAGGAGCAGAAAGAGCAGTGTGATCGCGTAGAACATGCGGCCCAGCTGCTTTTCACCCTTGACCTCGTCCATGCCTAGTAGCCGCCGGCTGGCTGCATGCCCATTTTGCCGGATACCCAGCAGGGTTGGCGGCATGGGCCCACGGCCAAAGCCAGCGATCCAGTTGGCAGCAGCCTGGCCGGTGGCCCCAGGACCATGGAATGTCCAGTTCTGGCTGATGGCTGGCACCATCTGCACTGGCTTCATCTTGCGGTGACGATACTCGAAGAGGAGCAGCTTGCCATAGACAGCATGTGTAGCTGCCATGAGCACAGCCAACATAAGCATGAAGCCCAGCGTGTCATTGGCCTTGAAGTAGCGATGCTCAAAGATGCACTGGTCCTCCTCCCGAATAAACTTGTAGGTGCCCACGTCAAAGACAGGTGGGAAGGCCATGGCCACAGACAGGGTCCAGGCCATGCAGATGACAGCTGCGCATGTCCAGAGTGTCATGCGCTTGGCGTAGAAGCGGTGGTGGGCGATGGCCATGTAGCGGGTGACGCTGATGCAGAACAGCATGAAGGCCGCATGGAAGCAAAAGAGCACGGCCATAAAGGCCACAATCTTGCAGCTGAGTGCACTGAAGGTCCATGAAGAGCCGTGGCGCACAGAAGCCAGCACAAAGGGGAAGCAGACGGCAGAGCGTATGCCATCGGCCAGGCACAGGTCCAGCAGGAAGTAGTAAGGAGCCTTGTGCAGGGCACGCTCCTTGAGCACCAGCAGGGACAAGATGGCGTTGCCCGCCAGGCTCACACACATAATCAGTCCCAGCAGTACCAGCTTCACATAAGCCGATGCAGACGGCGGGGACAGAGCGCCGCTCACCTCCTCAGGCTCTCCGGTGGTGTTGGCCATACTGAGGGTCAGGGGCTACTGCCAACCCTACGGGGTCAGCCAGTCTGGTACTCGATGGGCCCGGGGGGCTCCATGAGTTGTCCTGCTACATTGCACCTGCAAATGGGAATGAGCGGGGGAGACACAGACACAGAGAGACAGAGAGATGAGGGCAAGAGAGAGACAGAGAGGGAGAAAAACACACAGGCGTGCAGAGACAAAGTGGGAAAGAGAGAGAGAGAGATAGAACAAAGAGAAAAGTGGCCACCGATATAAATGGATTGAGATTGACACAGAAATGGAGGGGATGAGGAAGAGCGAGGAGAGAGAAAGAGAGGGGAGAGAGAGACAGACAGACAGGAGACCATGAGAAACAGATGGAAAGGAAAGATGAGGAAGAAACAGAAAGGGCAGGGTTAGTGTGTCTACGAGCCCTCCCCAATTATACCCTGGCTGGTGCCAGGCCCTGCCCCTGGACCACTCCTGCTCCTACCCACTCCTTGTCAGGTGAGGATGCTGCGTTTCTCTGGATGTCTTTGGTTACCTGTTTCCTCCATTGGTGGATCTGTGGGGCAGGGATGTTGGTGCAGCTCTTCTCCCCCTTTGCAAAGCGCTAAGGTTGTGTTCAGACATTTTTTTACTGTCACCCATAGTAAAAAAATACATTTTACATCACAACCCACTACACATACATACACACACGCACACACACAACCAAAAGTTTCACAAAACAGTACTGAACCTGTATGCAGTGTACCCCATTCATTTTTATTCTCTTTCATGTGTTCATAAAATGCTGGTACCACTCACTTAATAGATTTCTTTATTCATGATGGGGAATGTGTTTAGTATGCTTGAGGAACAGCAGGAAGACGAGTGCGGCAGGAACGGTGAGAACAAGGGAGACAGTGGTGGAAGGTGAAGTCGCAGAGGTGCCTTGGGGCCAGATTGTGTAGGGCTGTGGGCCACGATGAGGACTTTGGTTTTTGCTTTAGGTCAGGAGGCAAGTATGTGTGATTATAAACATGTAGGTATGCTTGTGCATATTCATTCATACACTGAAAAAATATTTATCAAGCATCTACTGTGTACCAGGCACTGTTCTAGGTATTGAACACAGATAAAGATCCTGGCCCTTGTGGAACCGACATTCTAGATAATAAAGAAGAGACACTGGTGAAGTATAGTGTGTCAGATGATGATAAGTTCCTAAGAATAAACATAAAGGAGGGAAGGAAGATAGGAAGTGCTAGGGGTGGGGAAGATGCTGCAGTTTTAGATGAGGTGGACAGGGGAGGCTTCATGGAGGAGGTGTCATCTGAGCATAGACCTAAGGGAGGTGAGAGAGTGAGTCATGTGGATATCTGGGGGAAGAGAAGTTCAGGCAGGGGGAACCGCCAGAGCAAAGGCCCTGAGGTGGGACTCTACATGGCATGTTTGAGGAAGAGCAAGGAAGTCACTGTGGGTGGAACACAGTGAGTCAGGGGAATGTGGCGGCAGGTGAGGTCAGAAAGGTGGTGAGGTCAGATTGGGGAGGCTGTGGCGAGGGCTTTTTCCTCTGAATGAGATGGGAGTCACGGGAGGCTTCTGAGCAGAGGCCAGATGTGGTATGATCTAGGATGGAACAGAATCCCGCTTGCTGTTGTGAAGAGCAGGGGTCATGTGGGGTGCAGATGGAAGTAGGGAAGACTACTCAGACGCCCCTGCAGCAATCCAGGTGTCAGATAATATCCCCTCCATGCCACTCTCCCTATTGTGCTTCCTAGAATTTCTCTCTTCTAACACACTATATAATTTACTTTTAAATTTTGGTTTATTGCCTGCCTTGTCCTATCAGAATGAAAGCTCCACAAAGGCAGGAGTTAAAGACTCACTGACTCTCCTCTGAAAGAACACTACATAGCACATCATGGTAGGCTCTCAGTGGCAATATATCAAATGAATTGATTGAGGGATTAAATGGACTGGGGCTGTGGGTCAGAGAGGGCGCCCTGGAGACATCCAGGCAGGATTCGCTACAAGAGCAGCCTGCGGGGTACACCTGGCAGTGAGAGCAGCGCAGCAAAGCTGTGGGAAAGAGGAGAGCTCTGGGAGTGTGGGGATGTGACTAGGTAACAGCACAGGTCCCAGGGGGAAGGCAGTGAGGCAACTGGGCAGAAACTGGGGAAGCTCAGGATGATTGTTGGGGCTGGGCTGGGGCTGGGCTGGGATTAGGGGGTGCAACTTGAGTGGATGTCTTCCTACTCCTTCCCTCCCAGGAAAAGTCTCCCCTCTGCATGTTTTCCAGCTCAATCCAGCCTGGCCTGCCACCTGGGGCCTGGCCTTTTTTTTTTTTTTTTTTTAGACAGAGTCTTGCTCTGTTGCCCAGGCTGGAGTACAGTGGCACAATCTCAGCTCACTGCAACTTCCGCCTCCCGGATTCAAGTGATTCTCGTGCCTCAGCCTCCCAAGTAGCCGGAATTACAAGCACACGCGCCACCACGTCTGGCTAATTTTTGTATTTTTAGTAGAGACAGGGTTTCGTCATGTTGGCCAGGCTGGTCTCCAACTCATAACCTCAAATGATTCGCCCGCCTTGGCCTTCCAAATTGTTGGGATTACAGGCGTGAGCCACTGTGCCCGAGCCAGGCTTTTTGATGGCACCCTGAAATCTCAGAGCCCATGGCAGGAGGCCAAACTAGTTCTTAGAAAGTGCTAGGGCAGGGGCTGAGCAGAAATGGGGTTGGTGGGCTCCCTTTCAGCCCTTCAAGGCCTGACAGCCCCCTCAGACTGTGGAACAGCCCACAGCTGGGTGAATGTAAACACACACACACACTCTCTCTCTCTCTCTTTTACCTGGAGGGGAGGCAGAGGGAAAAGGATAAAGACAGAGAGAGACTGAATGTAAGAGAGAGGCCAGAGAGATACAGAGAGAGAGAAGGAGAGAGAGGTGTGTGTGACAGAGACAGATGGAGACATAGGAGGGAGAAAGAGACAGAGAAAGAAACAGAGAAAGGGTCCTTACATACAGAGAGGAAGAGATCCTTACATACAGAGAGGAAGAGAGAGACAGAAAGGGGAAGAAGGGTGAAAATGAGAGTGAGAAAAAAGAGACAGAGACACACACAGAAACCAGCACGCCAGACAGAGAAGGGAGAGAAATAGAGACAGAGAGAGAGAGAGAGAGAGCGCAAGAGAGAGAAAAGGAGAGCAGGGAGAGGGCTAATGCCATGAAAGAAAGAAAAATAGAGATGGGATGGGGTGGGGCAGAGATAAGAGAGGGGCGCTGGAGACAGATAAGAGACAGAGACAGAAATAAAGACGGAGATAGAGAGGGAGACACGGAGAGCCACACTAAGACCGAGAAGGTGGATAATGTGTAGCCCTGAGTCTCAGTGAAAACAAAAGCTAAAGATAAAACAAAAACTCCCACATCCCCCGAAACAATAGCCGCAAACAAACAAAACCCTGGGAAAGCTCGGGACATGTTACAAACAAGTGAGGAGAGGGTCTTCCTCCGCAGACTGGCAGCCGCAGCCCGGGCCCAGCTGAGGCTCAAGACGCGTGCAAACACAGAACACGTGCATACTTGCTCGAGCCCAGACACCTGCACACCTCCTCCCCCCATAAACAGTCTACTGCTGTGGACACCCTCAGACAGCAACCCGCTCTTGCATGAGGAACGCGTGAGCACGCATGCAACACACACACTCACACATACGCACACACGCACACGGAAGGCAGAAGTACATCTTGTACTCTGCCGCGTTCACACAGGTACGCAACGTACTCTCTTCGAGCGCCAGCTCTTCGTCCTCAACAAAGGCGTTACTGCCCTCTAGGGGACATTTTGGAAATTTGTGTAGGAGCATTTTTGATGGCCACAATGCTGGGGTGTAGGGTGTCCTTCTGACATTTAGGAGTCGGGGAGGATGTTGGCCATCCAGTAATATGGGGGACAGTCCCACGCAGCCAACATGTCCCGCATCCTCTAGGACTTTGGACTTTTAAGTAAGTGAACCTAGAGTCTATTTCACAGATGAACACCATTTTTTTTCTCTTGATTTTAACATACCCCTAATAATCCAGGAACGTGGCTGTCATGTAAGTAAAGAGGAGGCTGTACTTTGGTTTGGGATGAGCTTTCCTTAGAGTTGTTGACTATTTTAGAAAATCTCACCTCCAAGGCCTGTGCCTGTCATTTTCCTGCATGTCCTGCCGCTGATGTTTCCCCTTCTCCTAAATCCATATTTACCCAGTATAAGACATTGGGGGCCGGACACAGTGGCTCACGCCTGTAATCCCAGGACTCTGGGAGGCCGAGGTGGGCGGATCACCTGAGGCCAAGAGTTTGAGACCAGCCTGACCAACATGGAGAAACCCCGTCTCTAATAAAAATAAAAAATAGAAAATTAACAGGATGTGGTGGCGCATGCCTGTAATCCCAGCAACTGGGGAGGCTGAGGCAGAAGAATCACTTGAACCTGGGAGGCAGAGGTTGTGGTGAGCCGAGATTGCGCCACTGCACTCCAGCCTGGGCAACAAGAGCAAAACTCCGCCTTAAAAAAAAAAAAAAAAAAAAACACACATTGGGAGCCTCTAATTACTTCCTTGAATCTCCTGGGGAGTGTCATGCCCAAGCATTTACAAATTGAAATACAAATCATTTTCTTATAAATCATTTTCCTTTTATTTCTTATTTGTATTTTAGTTAATACAAAATGGATATTGTATAAAATATGGATTTTCTTTTTAAATTTACATGTGCAAAGGGCCGGCCACGGTGGCTCACACCAGTAATTCCAGCACTTTGGGAGACTGAGGTGGGCGGATCGCCTGAGGTCAGGAGTTCGAGACCAGCCTGGCCAACATGTTGAAACTCCATCTATACTAAAAGTACAAAATTAGCTGGGCATGGTGGCATGCACCTGTAATCCCAGCTACTCGGGAGGCTGAGGCAGGAGAATCACTTGAACCCGGGAGGCGGAGGTTGCAGTGAGCTGAGATTGTGCCATTGCACTCCAGCCTGGGCAACAAGAGTGAAACTCCATCTCAAAAAAGAAAAAATTACATATGCAGAGAGATTATGTTACCTGAGAACTTCATTTCCAGACAGTAAAGGGGTGTTACAAAATATC